CGCGGCGGCAGCGGCAGAGCAGGTGCTGTCCTGGGGTCGTTGGGCTGTTCACAGCACAGCTCCTCCACAGCTCGCTGACAGGTGTAGCCAGGTGGCCCTGGGGCTCTTGTCCCAGGTAACAAGCAATAGGACATTTGGAGATGGCCTCAGATTTCAACAGGGAAAGTTTGGATTAGGATTAGGATTAAGAAAAAATTCTTCACTGGAAGAGTTGTTGAGCCCGGGGACAGGCTGCCCAGGGCAGTGGTGCAGTCACCATTCCTGAAAAGGCTTAAAACATGTGTAGATATTCACTTAAGGGCATGATAAGAGGACTAGAGCACCTTCCCTATGAGGACAGGCTGAAAAAGTTGGGGCTGTTGAAGCCTGGAGAAGAGAAGGTTGTGTGAAGATCTCCAGTACTTGAAGGAACTACAGGGAAGCTGGAGAGGGACTCTTTGTTAGGAATTGCAGTGATAGGACAAGGAGTAATAAGGATAAATTGAAAGACAGAAATTTAGATTAGATACTAGGAAGAAAATTTCCCTGTGAGGGTGGTGAGACACTGGCACAGGTTGCCCAGGGAGGCTCTGGCTGCCCCAACCCTGGCAGTGTTCAGAGCCAGGTTGAGCGCTCTGCTCTGGTGGGAGGTGTCCCTGGCCAGGGCAGGGGGTTGGGACTAGATCTTTAAGGTCCATTCCAACCCCTTAACATTCCATGGTGGATTTGGCAGTGCTGGGGTAATGCTTGGATTTGATCTTTAAAGGTCTTTTGCAATCTAAACAGTTCTATGATTTTCAAAGAGGAGCACAAGCTAAAGAAACCATTTTTATATTGGTGGATGAACCTTAAGACAACTTTGATATTTGTCAGAGTAGTCAGAAACTCTCCCCCCCACTTTTTAAATAACTTTTTGGGTTTGTTTTTCTTGCTGCATAGGTACCTCTTCAACATGTAATGTGATAGGGGAGGAAATGAAAGGTTAAAGACTTCACTCTGTTAATTGTGTTTATTGGACTGGATCACAGAGTGTCCTTTTAGTAGTTATTTGAACTCACCTTGAACTCACTTGTGATGTGCTCATGGAAGGAATGGTACTGTGGAAGAGACAAACCTGCCAGGCACCATATTGCGTTTACAGTGTTTTACTTTGAAGTCTTTTAGGAATTTATTCTTTCTATTTTTTAAATCTTAATGATGTAATGACTGCTAAAAGTTGCTTAACAGCAGGCCTTTCCACAGACCATGCCTTTTGTTTAGGAAGTCCATCATCTGTCTTACCAGTTTAACTATCCAGTAGTTAGCATGAGGAACTTTTTTTTAGCAGTGACAGTGAGGTAAAAATGCAAAGTACATGTATTTGTGGTAAACTCTTATAGAGTCACACTGCAAAGAAAATAGAAATGCCACCTGTAATGGTAAGGGGTAAGATATGATAAATTCTGTACAAAGAACAAGTGTTTTCCTGTTACAGATAGGAGTATAACAAACTAAAGTGGAAGGGAATTATTTAGTGAAGGTTATGTCATGTATTATGGTGAATCAGTGGGGATGACAGTTATTCTCTGTGCTACCCACAGGCCCTGGACAGGCTTATTGTCCATCTCCATAGTCATGGATCTTCTTTTAGACTGAGCAGACATGGCCCTCAACTTCCACAAAATGACACTATTTTCTCCTTTTAGCCATCACAGGGTCAGGCAGTAGTACTTGGGAATGGTAAGGATTTTGTGCATGCACTTTTGGGTCAATTAAATTGTTTGCATTATTTAAAACTGATTTCAAAGTTCAATATAAAGCTTTTAAATGTACCAATTTGAGCAAAAGAGCTATTAAATCTCACTGTGATTTGTTCTTGGTTCTTTTTTTTTTTTTTTGTCCTTTTCTCTTGTCAGTTCACAAAGCCTAATGAGAACAGTGCTGATTATCCTGACATGGCTAAGGAAGCAGGTAATTCATTAATAAAGCATTTTGTTTGATTGCTGATGCTTATTTTAAGTCTTACAGTTAATGTTTTTGTTATACATCTGAAGGAAGGATGACTCTTCTGTAAACAGATACGTATAAATGGCAAATCTAAAACTGATAAAGAAAAGAACACTTTCACAAAATCCAAAACTGACTTGTTCAACCTGCAGCCTCCAGTGCTGAAGTTAGAAGAATGGTTTAAAATTGCACTGGACACTTCATTAATTCAATAGTTACCAATATTATTCAAACATACTTCAATTGGGATGAACAGCCTTTGTTGAACACAGAATTGGTTGCATGAAATTTTCTGATAAAGGAGCTTGTTCAAAACTCAAAAGACTGTGAAATTGGCCTTATGAGTATTAAGGTACAAGACTATTAACCATTTGCATCATACATTAAGGAGTTCCTACAACTCTTTTTCTTGTCTGTGTGTGCAGGAATCATGCCTCCTACTCTAGGTTTGCTTGTTAGGGTTATGAGAGTTGCTTTTTATTTTTCCTTCCAATTTTAAACTTTGTTTTCAACTTTTAAACTGCTTTTCAGGCCAAGCAGCTTTAGCTGATGCCGGGATTCCTTACTCAGCAGTGCAGCAGGCGTGTGTGGGTTATGTTTATGGTGAGTAATGCCATTTGATTGGGATGTGACAGCTGCAGACATCTCATGGATAAAGTTTATCCACTTCTGTGTGGATAAAATATGGGAGAATCCCATCAATAAGGTTTCTGTTATGGGGAAGTCTATTTCCACTCCAAAGAGCTTTTCATGTACTTTCCTCCTGGTTCTCTGTTCAAGACTGTGTGGCAACTGAAGTAGGGGCAGTCAGCTGTGATTCCTAGAGCAGCTTCCAAGCCACACCTCTTTGACCTTTCTGTCCACCCACCTCCCTTTGATCCATGGCCTGTTGTCACAGGAGCAGGACAAACTTCTAGTTTAAAACCTGATGAGTTTCATCTTGTTTCTAGGGTTCTTTACTGTGGATACCTGAGAGACATACTCAAGATGACAGTTCCAAAGCTCTGGTTTGCAGTTTAAGGGGTAGCACTGCACATACATGGCAGGATTTAATTTGTGAGTGAGATTTTGAGCATGTACCTTATTTTACTGTTGTGTTTCTCTCTAAAGGTGACTCAACCTGTGGACAGAGAGCTATCTATCATGGCCTGGGTCTAACTGGCATTCCTATCATTAATGTTAACAACAACTGTGCTACTGGATCCACTGCTCTGTTCATGGCCAAGCAACTAGTAGAAGGAAGTGAGTTGTTTTGATCTGGGGCTGGGTAATACATATTCTCTATTTCTATCAATGTAACTTGAATGAAGATTGGAACTAATGAATGTGTGAGCACTTTTGAGTTGTAAATGTCCTGTCCCCATGGGCAAAGCTGTGTTTTCTGCCTCTCTCAGCTGTAAAGGCTGGTCAGTTGTACATACAAATGATCAAGCACTTGAAAGAGTCAGACTGTCACTATGAGCTGGGGCATTGTGTGTGCACCTGAGAGATTGCCTGGGATGCAGTAGGATGGTGTATGTGGATATAAATGTCATAAGCTATATGAACACAGTCAGTACTAGGTCAGTTAAGTGTTTCCTGGAATAAATGTTTGGAGTAGTGCAGGGCAAGTTGCATTATACTACTGCAAGACATGAGATTCTGCAGGATGGAAAGGAGAGAAGAATCTGCTAAAATCTTAGCTTTCTTCTTTTGTCTTTTTTTTTTTATTAACTTGAAGTTAACACAAGTGTTTGACTAACACATTTTTGGAAGGGAGGGGAGAGAGCGGACTGTCAAAAATAAACCCAAGTCCTGTACTGATCTCTCACTCTTGAGTATCAATATATTTGTATCAATACTTTTTCTACTTTAATTTGACTCTCTTTCAAAAAATGAAGAAAGGAGGAAGAGCAGCTGGTAGGTGTTTCTGTATGTATCTTGTAATTAAATAGCTGTTAGTACACAGTGTCATTTATAATTACATTGTGTTTTAAATAGCCACAAATTTTATTTTAAGGTTTGGCAGACTGTGTTCTGGCACTTGGATTTGAGAGGATGGGAAAAGGATCCCTTTCTTCAGGTGTAAGTGTCTGAAACACTTCCTATGTTTGGTGTCGATGAGACACATCTCAATCTCTGAGACATATTCTCATGAATACCAGTTGCTGTAGAGGATGAAAAAATAAACCATTATTTTGGATAAGATATGGAATCTGGGTCTTCTGGCTTGATGCTTACTCAGTTGACCTGTTAACACACTTTCCCAAAAGCTAAGGGCTCCTTGACTCTTCTTTGTTTTTACTGGAGAAGTGTGTGTGGGTTTGTTTGTGTTTTGCCTTATGGCAAGCAGTATTAGAGCCCATATGTCATTTAACTACAGAACTGCCAAATTTGATAATATATGCAGAGGTTTGGGTGAGAAATGTTAAATTTAACAGTGATAAAAATGAGCAAGAGTTATCTTTTAACATGCTTTACACTATTTCATCTAAGCTTCATTGAAAAGGCCAATATAGAATCAATTTTGTAACTTGGAACTGTATTAACTATAGGATTTTAAGTGAGGTGAAAAAACCCAAAGTCCTCTGATTAAAGTAGTGACTGTGGTAGAAATCATGATCCTTGCCTTGAATCAGTGCAGTGGTTATAATGTTAAGCATTTTCTGCTTATTTGCTCTTTTTTTGTAGCTGGGAGATGGTGAATGCTTCTAAATAAGTCACTGAAGTGCAACATACTGTGCAGAGGAACTGTTAAAATAGCAGTAAAGCCTCTATTGAGCTTGAAATCCATGGTACTTCTGTGGTGATGTTGTAGAGAAAAGGAAATTATGCCTTGCTTTGTAACTGTTTCTCTTGTTTTTAGTTTTCAGACAGAACTAATCCAATGGACAAACATTTGGAAATTATGATAAATAAATATGGCTTAGCAAGTGCCCCAGTGGCACCTCAGATGTTTGCAAGCGCTGGCAAAGAGCATATTGAGAAATATGGTATGTTAAAATACATCTTCTCATTGTCTTCTCTTAATGAATTGATTCAAAAATAATATATTAGGATTTTGTTTTTAAAAAATGGCAGCAATCAGTGTCCTTTCTTTCACCCAAGTACTGCAACTGCAGCATCTCCACTTTTCAGGAATGCATTTGGATAAAGGGTTACCTACAGGAAAGTTGGTGATGTGTAGGCAAACAAAACCATCTGGAGACAGAATTAAAGCTGTGATACAGTGTCTGCTAATCATACTAATGGTGTAAGTTGTGTTCCTGTAAAGTGTTAGCAATGAGGTTGTATAACTTCCTGCATTTTTGCCTTGTGCCTTAGGATAGGTACATAGGCTTGGGACTGAATTGCTTGGCAAAAGTTTGCAGGTATTTGATTTCATACCTAGTACTAGGCTGCTGCCACTGCTGTTTCTTATCTCCTCACCAGACAAGGGAATTGGCTCCAAGGTAATAGGATGGGCCATTGTGCATCTTCTATTTGCACTTATGTTTAGGCTATTATATGGAAAAAGTTTAGATTTAGACTTTCAGTGCAGCTGTTTTGCACTGACAGGAAAATGAACATTCAAGTTTCAGTAATACAATAATACATCAAATAAAATGCACTTATTTTCTGTATTTTTATGTAAGTGTTAAATATCCAAGTGAGTTATTCTGTTAGCAAAAACTCAACTGGTTTTAGTAGTCTTCATCTGATTTTGAGACCTGAGTTGAGTTCTAGGGAAAGCCTTGATAACAGTGATTCTCTTGCAAAGATGCTTGTAGAGGTCAGATTCTTATGACACAATATTTAAACTGTTATGTTAGCACTGTTTGGGTAAACAGAGCATTTCAACAGAGCTTTCTTTCCCCTTCCAGGGACAAATCCAGAATACTTTGCAAAGATTGCATGGAAGAATCACAGCCATTCAACTAACAACCCGTGAGTCCTGTGCTCTGCCTCTGTATTGAACATCCCTGGTTGTTAAAGAATTCCTGCACAGCCAAGTATTACTTGTAGAAATGTTTTGCAGAGCTTATTCTTTATTATGGACTGAGAATTTAACCCAGTATAAATTCTATATCCAGTGTCTTATACTTTGTAAAAACAGCTCTATAGCTTGATACTAGTATGTCTTCTGCTGAAACTGAGATGGCATCTATGTGTTTTCCATAGGTATTCCCAGTTCCAGAAGGAGTACACATTAGATGAAGTTCTGCATTCTCGCAAAATCTATGATTTCTTGACTGTCTTACAGTGTTGGTAAGGAGAGGACTTGGCATTGTGAAATAAATCTTGATGTTAAGACAAATATGGTAGCACATCTGTGTATGTGTGTAAATTGAAACGTACAGATTAAGTAAAACTGTAAATTTTAATTTACATCCCAGCAGACTTTATAAAAAGAGACTACTTTAAGTAAAACTTTTCATAAGTAAAACAACTGTGGAAACTCTGTCTTGACCAAGCTCTAGATACCTGTTCATAGTGCAACACAGTGAGCTGAAATCCATTTTGTACTTTGGAATGTGTCATTGTGTCATTCTGTTTCTTTTACTAATGTGCACCATTGTTGTTCAGTGTTAATTTTTCTCTTCAGCCTTTCCTATACACACCTGAAAGGTGTATATATGTTTATATATGTTTATAGCCAAGTGGAAGCTTTGATTTTTCCTAAATCAAAGGCTGGTGAAGGGACTGGAGCACAAGTGCTATGAGAAGAGGCTGGGGGAGCTGGGGGTGTTTAGCCTGGAGAGGAGGAAGCTCAGGGGAGACCTTATCACCCTCTACAACTCCCTGACAGGAGGTTGGAGTCAGGTGGGGGTTGGTTTCTTCTCACAGACCATTAGCAAGAGGACAAGAGGGCACAGACTCAAGCTCTGCCAGGGGCGGTGTAGGTTGGATATTAGGAAGAGATCTTTTACAGGGAGAGTGATCAGACATTGGAATGGGCTGTCTGGGGAGGTGGTGGATTCACCATCCCTGGAGGTTTTCAAGCTGAGACTGGATGTGGCACTTGGTGCCATGGTCTAGTAACCACAGTATGGTTGGACTTGATGATCTTTGAGGTCTTTTCCAACCAGGTTGATTCTATGATTAAATTGAAACCCCTTAATGATACATTTCTGTTTTGATGTCCTGCTCTTCAAATGTCTATTATAAACACTACTGAAAGTGTCCAGTAAACACTGACAGAATTTATAGTTCCAGTGGCATCAGCCAAAAAAAGTGGTTTTTTTTTCCTTTGTCCTTTTTGGGTTTTGCTTTGTCTTAAAAGCTAAATTTATGGAAGATTGACCTTACTAATTTAGAACGATGACATCACTGTTTTTCTTTCAATCAGTCCAACATCAAATGGTGCTGCAGCTGCAATTTTGGCTAGTGAGGAGTTTGTGGAAAAGCATAAGTTGCAGCCAAAAGCTGTGGAAATTCTGGCCCAGGTGATGGCTACTGATTATCCAAGCACATTTGATGAAAACAGTTGCATGAAGATGGTAGGTTGGCAATTCTCTGTACCCTGGTACTCATCAGGTTGGTTTTTCTGGGGTTCTTTGTTTATGGGTTTGGGTTGGGCTTGTTGTGGGTGTTTCGTTAGTACCTGCAAGTCCTAATCATACTATAGACATTTCCATGTCAGTAAACAAAGAATTCTGTGGTGAATGTCGGTGATTTTTTTTGGACAGGTATGGAATAAGCAAAGTGTGGTTGTGACAGTAAGGAATTTATGAACAGGCTATCAAAACCTAGTTTTTAACAATTTATTTACAGGCTATTTTTTAAACAATTTGAACAGCACGAAAATATTTCTGTTTAGAAAGTAATGAAACTTTAAACAATTGTACTTATGCCTATGTAATACTGAAGCTGAAATACCCTGTTGGGCACAGTCATGATTACTTGCTGAAATAGAATGAAGGGAAAGATCTGAACCACAAAATCTGGATCTCACTGCAAATTGAATAAAATAATTGGATGTAAGTCAAACTATTAGGATACCCAACAGTTCCTTCTGCATTTGTGTTCTATTTGGGTTTCAAATACAGTTCTAGTCAGGTGGCTGATAGAAAAAGGTAACAAGACAGGTTGAGGATTTGTTTCAAGGCTGTTGGTCTGAGCCATGCAAGGGATCAATTTGGCTTGTGCCCAAGGTTGAGAAAATAAAGGATATTCCCCAGAAAAATTTTGCATGTCAGCAGTGAGACTTGGATTGTATTGTTTATTTCTATCCAATTCATATTGTATGAATATTGAACTCTGGTCTGTGATGCACTAGGATCAAAATGCCACCTCCTACTTCCACTCACAAGACCTAGAGAAGCATGGTTAAGATTATGTGTCAAAAGGAAATTGCTAGCTGTATTTCTTTAATGAGATTTTAACATGCAGTTTCTTTATGCAGGTTGGCTATGACATGACAAAAAAAGCTGCAGAAAAATGTTTTGAAAAAGCAGGTCTGAAGCCTACAGATGTTGATGTGATTGAACTTCATGATTGCTTCTCTGTTAACGAGTTCATTACCTATGAAGCTCTGGGACTCTGTCCAGAAGGTAATGGCAGCAATGGATATCATTGTTTTATTAACACGGAAAGCATTGAAAATACCTTTTTATCTGTTCACATAATTAGAGCTTTGAGTTTTCTACTGGAGAGATCTTTTGTATTTGAATGTCTTATTAACTCATCTCAGAAAAGCAAGTTACCACTCTAGAAGAATAAGGAAGACCTGCAAAGTCTAGAATTAGTTTAACAGATAAGCAAGTGACTATGGTTTCTGAAGGAATGCACTGGGCATATTAAAGTGTTGGACAACTGTATGAAATCATAAGGCTAACTTGTGCAGGGTTGGCTCTTCTCAGCAAGCAGAGCAAGACAATTAAGGACTCCTGTGATCTCAGTACTGTGCCCCTTTTTCAGGGCTGTATACTTACCTACCCCAACATTTCCCTCCATCTTTGTATTTCTTTTAAGAAGATAAAATTTGGACAAGAATTGCCTATAGAGGCCTTACAAAGTGACTTATCTTTGATGTGATGTTTTTTTAAATTCTGAAACATATTTGGTTGTGGGCAAGTTGTGTACCTGCCTCTAAACTCAACTGTACTAGCAATGCACAATCTGTCCAGATCAGTTCAATGTCTTTGAGGTGGGTGGATTTACAGCAGGTCAAATGGCAGTGGAGTTTAAATCTGTAAGACAAACCATTAAAATTTGCTACTGAAGAGGTTTTTGTTTGACTTCAAATAATGCAGTGAACTGTCATTTCAGTTTGTGACATATTTAAATTCTAAATGTAATCTTGCTTTGCATAAATAATCATCTGATACCGTCTTTCTCTCATTTGTTTGTAACTGATTCTGAGAAAATACCACGTTCTGGCACTAGATGGTGTATTAAGTCTGAGCTTTCTTACTGAAACAGAAGTTCCTGGAACTCCAGCGAGAATTTTTGTGTTTGTAGGTCTTCGAATATTTGCCTTTGAATGTTTGCTTTTTACTGTCATCTTTGGTGTGTTTTTTATGGTATCTGCAGCAAAAATGGTCAGTGTTTGACATTATCTAAATAGATACATGAAGCTCTTTAGCTTCACTCCTTAAATTGATGCAGAATCCTGATGGTCTTTGTCTGTTTGTCTAATAAATCTTGTGCATGGTAATTTAATAGTGCAATTCTCACAACCTTTGGTCAGTCTGACCTTAATAGTATATGAAACTTGTTTGGGAATGGTAGACTAATTAGGCATAGAGATTGATGATTAGGTTTAGATGTGGATTTAGATATACATGACCAACTGATATTCTCATTTAGTGGCAGAAGTAAGTTACAAATACAGGAGCCATGGCAGATCTTTCTTAGACTGAAAGTTAATAATTTGGCTGAAAAATCTGGTACAAGAATAAAGGAATAAGAGCCTGGTTAAAAGGGAGAACTGTCTGTAGTCTGGACACACAAGGAATTCTAAGCATTAGTCTTATGAGTGCTTTTCTTTACTCTCTGAATGTCTGATTGCATCTCAGGGTACACCAGCCACTTCTGTGGCAAGGGCTCATGTTAAGCTTGGTGTTCACCATGTCCTGGGGGTCACAAATTACAACTAACCCCTCTTGTACAGAAAACAGTTATCACTGCAGTTTCATGAACTAAATAATAAACAGCTTCAGTGTATTTTTTATATCATATTTAATATTAATATGATAATATACATATGTATTAATATTAATATATCATGAAAACAGTTCAACAGCAAATGTTAAAAAAAGCTTTTTGAATCAAGTGCTTCTCTTCCATGTTACGTTTTCTCCAGAGGTATAAGCAAGCCTCATCAGTGTAGTTTGGCTAATTTCTGTCCGTGAAATCTGTGCTGTAGCATTTCCTAGGTTCTGACTGACCTGCAGCATCTCTGGTCAGTGACAGCAGAATTGACAAATACTTTCAAACAAAAAAGCAACAATTTTCTTTCATAAATACTGTTTTCTAGGAAGAGCATGTGACCTGATTGACAGAGGAGACAATACTTATGGAGGAAAATGGGTTATTAATCCCAGTGGTGGCTTGATCTCAAAGGGACATCCTCTTGGTGCCACAGGTATGCAAACACACTTCATTTAGTTGTGCCTGTTAGATGTGAGAGAGAGCTCTTGAGCAGGCAGGTGCCTCCCACTTGTGCTTGAAACATGAGGGCCTCATCATCAGCTCCAAAGCCGCTTCCCAGTCTCCTCATTTCCAGATAATGCAAGTGGGTTTTGTTTGGTTGGTTTGTTTTCTTTAAACTGCTATGCTTGTTTCCAAGTGAATCGGCTCTTGGATAAAATGTGTTTGGATTTATGATGATAATTCACATTCCTTGTTTGGAAATGAGAAGCTGTCAGAAGACTGGAGAAGAGGAAACCTTGTAGAACACCAAACCTTAATCTAACCAGCTGTAACAGTGAGACGTCTGCAGTTAGTGCTGGAGTGGGGAAGCATTAGGAAACTTTGGGGAAAGAAAAGTTCCAGATAAACAAGGTCATAACATGGTGAGAGTATTGCATTGCTAGGTTTGTGTTATCTTTTTGTCAGATACACAGTGATTAAAGTAGAGGCAATTCCTGGTGTTCTTGCCTCTCTCCATTGCCATGGGATGGGGGAAGATTCATTGAAATGCAGGAGATGACATATCTCCAGCCTGTCAGCTTCCCTTCCCTGGGAACAGTCTTGAGGCTGGCTGAATGCTAATCAGGGGTCATCTAAGTCCTCTGAAATTTCCAAGCCATTCCAAGGCAGGCTGCACCATGGGGCACACTCTCTCCTCGAGGCTGAGGGAATGTAAATGATACCTGTTCTTTCTTATCTAAGAATTATAAAACTCCTTAACTCATCCTCTTCAGAATGTTTCAGCTGACAATGCAGATTCCTTGTCTGCCTGGCCCAAAGGCCTGTGCCTATGTCTAGGGGAAGGGAAAGGAAGGGATTGAGGGAGGAAGAAATGTGTGTGCCATAGAACAGGATCCTGATTGCAGGAAGAGCTGATGGACTAGCAGAGGGAGACTGAGGGTAAATGTCCAGAGCACTGTGTCCAGTTCTGGACCCCTCACTGCTAGAAGGACATTGAGGTGCTGGAGTGTGTCCAGAGAAGGGTGAAGGAGCCGGGGAAGAGCCTGGAACACAAGCGCTGTGAGGAGAGGCTGAGGGAGCTGGGGCTGTTCAGGCTGGAGAGGAGAAGGCTCAAGGGAGACCTTATCACCCTCTACAACTGCCTGAAAGGAGCTTGCAGCTGGATGGGGATCAGTCAAGGGGATAGCCAGGTGGGGTCAGTCTCTTCTCCCAGCTAGTGACAGAATGTGAGGACACAGCCTCAAGCTGTGCCAGGGGAGGCTTAGGTTGGACATTAGGAAGAATTTCTTCACAGGGTAT